CAGCTGAGCTACTTCGGCTCCTCTCATCCATGTGAGCAAACTGGACTGTGATGCAGTGATGATCTAGGGGCACATTGTCTGTCTGCACATCACCCTCTCTTCAGCCGCGGGGGCACGCTTATTCATGAGTGCAGGGGCTGATTCTGGGTCCTGATTTCTCAGCTGAGCACATTACACGTGACCCATTGTCAGCGCCCAGTTAATATTTGTGAATGAATGTACGAGTGAGTGAGTGATGGGGTCCCCAGGAGGGGCTGCCCTGCCCCAGCCAGGACCTGGCCCGCCTCCTTGCTTTGCTCTCACTGCCATCTTCTGCTTCCTAGCTGTGTTCCAGAAGGTACTCTGGTTACACTATTTGTGTTCCAGAAGGATACCTTCTTCCATTTCTATCATGCCCTCCTTTTCTCCCTGGAGCGCATGCGCGCGCTAGGAGAAGCTGACCGTGGTGAATGAGACACAGCTTCTCCCTCGCCTGTTACCCACTGCTGCTGGGCCCCACATGAGCACCAAGATTTCCATCAAACTTCCCCCCGGGGGCTCCTGACCCTGGAGCTCATTACAGGGTGTGCCCAGAGCCACCCCCCAATATCTCTAACATGTGCTTCTTGGACTCTCACAACATCAAAGCCGCCTTATTAAGAGGCTCGTTGCTTGGGGTCCCACAGCCACAGTTCCTGATCTAGGTCTGTATCTGCGTTTTCAATGAGTGCCCAGGCAAGGCTGTGTGGGTGCTGCTGGCTGGGGGCTGGGTCAGAACCTCTGCTCTGATTGGCCCAGGGCCAGCGCTCACTCCTAGCTGCCTCCACCAGGTCCACCCTCTGCATCTGCATCACTTCCGTGCGCTAGAACACGTGACCGCCTTACCCTGTACAGGGCAGAGCCCCTGTCTGTAAGTGTTCCCTGGCTACCCGCCGAACTGCTCTGGGAGCCGAGGCGGCCCCCCAGGCCCTGCGGGGCCCGTGACCCAGAGCGTGCCCCCTCGCATTGCACCTCTCATAGCCCATGGCTGGCCCAGCTCGCGCTGAGCGTGTGGGCCTGGAGACTGACCGTGACTTCCTAAGGAGCTCGAGGCTGCGAGTCATCACCGCCAGCACCTGCTGCTGCCTGGTTTCCGGGGAAGTCCCTCTCACTGAGCAGCCTGTCTCGGGTGGACCTCAGACCTCCCTGTGGCCTGCCTTGCAGAGGTCAGAGGATGGGGCTGGAGCCTCAGGTCCACAGAGAAGCCATCTGCGAAAACAGGTGACCGGGAGATGAGGCACTGAGAGTGCCCATAAACCCTGTCTCTGTCTGAGTCTCCAAGACTATCCCCGACACCCCACCTCTGGGTCCTGCAGCCTCCGCTGCCTACACCAAAGGGACCAAGGCACCCTACGTCGCTGACCAAGGCGACGGCAGCCATGGGAAGAAATGATGGAGCCCGTGATCTGCTCAGCCCTCACCCCTCAGCTCCACCGAAGGGGCAGGAAGAGGCAGGGTGCTCCCCTCGCCTGGAGCCGGGTGTGCCCCTGGGGCCAGGGGGCAGAGGGGTGCTCTGTGCTCCTCACCCGGCAGGGCCCGGGGTGGAGGGCGGGCTCCCCCAGGACAGGGAGTGGGATGCTGGTGCTGCTTCCTGGAGATGAGATGTGGACCTTCTCGGGGATCGGGGGACCCCAAAGGAGAGCTCCCAGGGGCAGATGGAGAAGTGAGTCCCAGGATGGGGCATCTGCTGCAGGGGAGGCCCTGAGAACCTGACCGAGGCCACCTCGCTCCAAAAGGAAGCGTCTGAACATCGCCTAGCCCCGAAGATTTGGGCGCAGGGCAGGGTGCCAGGTGCCAGCCGCTGAAGGCTTCGCCCCCTCGCCACAGAGAAGGAGCCCTGAAGGGTCCCACCAAGCCTAGTGGAGGACAAGGTGAGTCAGAGAGAAGCCCCCAGGTCCCCTCTCCCAGGAGGGCTGGGGAGCCAGAACATCACCTTTGAGTGAAGTCTGGAGTTTTATACTCTAGACAGTATTGTAATCACAGGGCTGAGGCTGCCTTCGTGGCCACAGGTACCTGCTGAGACTTCATCCCGGTCCCAGGAAAGAGCCAGCCCTGAGTGGGGCTTCTGGGACCCCGTGGGGAGAGGCCAGTCCTTGGGGGAACACTGGCCTGTGGGGTCCAGCTCCTTCCTATACCAAGTGTGTTTATCTGTCTATAGCGTCTCCACCACCGCCTGCATCCCATGTTGAGAAGTAGACTTTTTTCTTCTATAATCAAAGCTCACATTCTTGTGCATTTTATCCCACTCCAGTAACTGTGCTAGTCTTTCAAACATACGTGTGCTAATTCAGTCCTCAAGCAACCCTATGAGGTGTCATCATCTGTTTTACAGCAAAGGGATCTGCGTGGTGATTATTCACCACTTGCACAGGTCAGGGATGGCTTAGCAGTGGTTAGAACCCAGACGGCAGCAACGGTTCTCAGCCAGGCATGGGCTTTTGCCTCCCTGGAGGTCAGAGGCTGCAGTCCATGGGATTGCAAAGAGATGGACACGACTTGGCGACAATGACAACTGCACGTCAGTGGCCAGAGTCTGAAGATGCCCGAGGTTCCCGTCCACGCCCGCGGTACGTACTCCGCGCACCTGGGGCTCCAGGCCAGGCCGTGACATCCCACAGCACATGGGACAGCCAAGAACCACCCCCGCCCAGCCCGAGCCCACAGTGCCGGGGCTGAGAAAACTCCTTCTAGTAGTTGTCTGCCAGATGCAAATGGTTGAATTTTCCTGATCGTATAACATTATCGAATAGATCAGTCTATTCTGGAGAACCAACATTAGAATACGCAAGTTACCTGAAACAACAACATTGCCAGAGACAATGCTGGTTAATCTTGTCTATAAATGTTCAGGTTGGTGCCTCTGTGGACACACATATGCACACCCATGCATACACACATACTTGCGCACACACACATTGGTTTTTCATGGAGTCTTTCTTTCTTCAGCTTACTCTTTTTTTGAAAATGGAATTGTGTTGTAGTTGCTGATCCTTCAGATTTTTACTTAACCATCCATTGCACTAAAAATACACATTATGGACTTCTTTCCACGTCAGTAGAGACATACCAGGGCAGCTTCCCAGCTGACTCTGGTAAAGAGTCTGCCTGCAATGCAGGAGACTTGGGTTTGACCCCTGGGTCGGGAAGATCCCCTGGAGGAGGGCACAGCAACCCACTCCAGTATTTTTGCCTGCAGAATCCCATGGACAGAGGAGCCTGGTGGGCCACAGTCCATGGGGTCACAAAGAGTTGGACACAACTGAGTGACTGAACGTGCACACACGCAAACACAGATTGGAGATGACATGTTCTCGAAGAGGTCATTCTGCCTCACAGTGGGGAGTGTGTTGGAAATTTTTGTGGGGGCTTTTTGTTTGGGGACGGGGCTCCAGGCCTTTAGTGGGTGGTGGTCCAGGGGTGCTGAGCATCCTATATTGTGCAAGGCAATGCCCCACATGGAGATGAATCCCTCATAATTTTGAAATATCCCACCAGTAACTCATGTGGTTGAAAAGCATATTTAGAATAATCCAAGATCCAAAATTCATTTTAATTTAGATACAATCGATTTTTTCCTGGTTTCAGCAGGACTCCGTTTTACAGGAGTATGAGGGGGTGGTGAGCGTGGTCTGTGCCTCGCCGTGTTCATCGTGGGAAACCTCGTCACGAATAGAAGTGCGGCTGGGAGAGCTGGACTCCCGGCGCCTACCGCGGGGGACCTGCCCCTGCACCTGGGCAACTGGAGGGGACCCCTCAGGGACCGACCTCGACATTCCACACATCTCCCCGGGCACCCACGCCTGTGCATTTACGTACTGAAACATCTCATCACCGCTTCTTCTCCCTTTATTTCTCTTTTATATTACAGTTAAGGTAATATATCGATTCTTTACACTTGTGTGTGTGAGTCATTGTGTCATTATATTGATTTTTAAAAAGTCATGTGTGTGGGTTATATTATCTATGAATTTCATTTCAGGATGGTAAGGGGAGTGTTATAAACATTTGTTATAGAAAAGAGGCATTTGGGTCTGACATTTATTATAGAAAGGAGGCCTTTAGGTCTGACCGACCTGAAAATCCCTGATTTATCTCATTTCACTTAATGTAGCCTCATGCTGGGCACACTTGTATCACGGTTTATTTAACTCATCTACCACTGATGGATATGGAAGTTCTTGGGTCATATAAGCAACACTCTGATAAATAGACATATTTATAAAAATATGTCTGGGCACTCACTGAATTATTTCCTTAGGGGAAAAAATAATCATAGCAGTGGAATTGCTGAACCAGAGGTAAGCACATTCTCCATTTCAACATGGTTTGTCTGAATTATCCCACTACGGGAGCAGGAGGCACATGTGGGTGGGACCCCAGGAGGAACAGGCTCAGGAGGCAGCAGACGCCGTGCGTCGTGCTGGATTCCGCCGGATTCCGCTCAGGCGGCAGCCGCGTCCTGGCAGCTGCGTGTCTGCGCCCAGCAGCGGTGCCAGGACCTCCAGGCACCATGCAGAGAGGGTGTCCCTCCCAGCCCAGCCGCTGCTCTGCAGTTAGCAAGTGTCCTCTCATAAACCCCTTTGGGTGGTCTGCATGGATGCTCCTGTTTGCAGCAATCATTCCAGACTCATCAGAAACCTAACTCAATTTCAAGTGACACTGGTTGATTTTTCATGGCGTTTTTTCACTTGGACCTTGTTATGCGCCGAATTGAATTCTCTAAAAAACTCACATGTTGAAGCCCTGACCCCCCAGGACCTCAGAATGTGACCTTATTGGGAAATAGGGCCACTGCAGATATCATTAGTTCAGATGGCTCTCACTGGAGCAGTACCGCTTCCTCTGACATGACCACTACCCGATAAAAGGGAGAGATGCTAGGGACTTCCCTGGTGGTCCAGTGGCTAAGACTCCGAGCGCCCGATGCAGGGGGTCTGGGTTCTTCAATCCCTGGTCAGGGAACTAGATCCCACATGCTGCACCTAGATGTGGCACAGCCAAATAAATAAAAGCATTCCCTTAAAAAGGGAGCGATTTGCTTGCATGAACACACACACACAGAGACACTCGGAGGACATCACGTGAAGATGCGGGAAGGGACTGAGGCGTGCTTCCACTACCCAGGGGACACCAAGGATGCCCAGCAAACACCCAGCGGCTGGGGGAGGGCCTGGGGCAGCTTCCCCTCCCTGCTCAGGAGGAAGCAACCCTGCCAGAACCTCGATCTTGGACTCCCAGCCTACAGAGCTGTGAGACGGCCAGGTTCTGTCGCTGAGGCCCCCAGTGCTGTTGCCATAGCCTGAGGAAACCAATGCAGACATCTCAGCTTCAGTGACTGCTCAGCAGAACCGTTGTGTGATGAAGCCTGAGGCCATCTCAGGAGTCATCTGGTCCACCCCCTCCCCGCTCTGACACACAAACAATGAAAACCCAAACAAGCTGTAGGACTTGTCCAAAATCCGAGAGCGGGTTGGCAGCATCTCCTGCCTCCTGCTGCAGTTTTGGACTCCCGCGCCAGAGCTGTGAGCTGGGGCATTTCTGTCGGTCACGCCCTCTGTCTAAGCGCTTTGTCTCATTTGTGCTAGGCCCAAGCCCCGGCTCACTTCCTGTCCGGGCCTCAGGAGGCCTAGTCATGGGCAGACTCACGGGGGTGGTGGTGGTTTCGTGTGTGTCTGGCCCCGCCCGGAGCACCATGGCTGGTGCAAAGGAGATGCTCGGGGAAGCTTCCCTGAATGGGATGAAGTGTGAACGTTCACTCTGGGCTTCTCTGGGGGCCACGAGTCAGGTCCAGGAGGTGCTCCAACAGCGCCCCTTAGAGGAGGATAAGGCCTGGCCACAGGAAGCGTGCTGGTCACAGGCGGCATCAGCCTGGAAGGTAAGCATTGGGAACAGCAAAAGGACTCCGGCCCGGTCTCTAAAATATGCTTCTGAATCCACAGCAGCTGCTCGGGCATCCTGCTCCGATGCCCTCCCCGCTCCACACTGGGAACCGCAAGCAGAGCCTGACGCTCAGAGCCTCAATTCCCCAAAGGAAAGGAGGGTGGTGACGGGCTGAAAACCTCACCTGTGTGCAGCTTGTTAACCCTGGGGCCGCCCAGTGAGAAGGCCCTGGCACGGAATGCAGTCTGTACCACGTTTCTCATCATGGACATTCAGGGCATCAGGTCAGGGGAGATGAGAGTGGGAGGAAGACAGACAGCCATGCGTGGGGCAATGCTGAGATGTCTGTCTCTTAAATGTCTCCTCTTTTTTAGCTCTTCAGCATCCTGTTCTCGTTGTTCAGTTGCTCAGTCATGTCCAACTCTTTGCGGCCCCATGGACTGTAGCACGCCAGACTTCTCTGTCCTTCACTATCTCCCAGAATTTGCTCAAACTCAAGTCCATTGTGTCGATGATGCCATCCAACCATCTCATCCTCTGTCATCCCCTTCTCTTCCTGCCTTCAATCTTTCCCAGCATCAGGGTCTTTTCCACTGAGTCAGTTCTTTGTATCAGGAGTTTCAGCTTCAGCATCAATCCTTTCAATGAATATTCAGGACTGATTTCCTTTACAATTGAGTGGTTTGACCTCCTTGCAATCCAAGAGACTTAACAGTCTTCTCCAACACCACAGTTCAAAAGCATCAATTCTTCGGCACTCAGCCTTCTTTATCGTCCAACTCTCACATCTATACATGACTACTGGAAAAACCATAGCTTTGACTGTACACACATTTGTCCAAAAAGTGATGTCTCCGCTTTTCTATATGCTGTCTAAGTTTGTCATAGCTTTTCTTCCAAGGAGAAAGCGTCTTTTAATTGCCTGGCTGCAGTCACCAGTGATTTTGGAGCCCAAGAAAATAAAATGTCACTGTTTTCATTGTTTCCCCATCTATGTGCCATGAAGTGATGGGACCAGATGCCATGATCTTAGTTTTTTGAATGTTGAGTTTTAGGCCAGCTTTTTTACTCTCTTCTTTTACTCTCATCAAGAGGCTCTTTAGTTCCTCTTCACTTTCTGCCATAAGGGTGGTATCATCTACATATCTGAAGTTGTTGATATTTCTAGACAGGTGCTGACTTTAAAAGCATTTTATGAATTAAACAAAGTTCCTAGGATTAAAAAAAAAAAAAAAATCACATGGCCACCAGCTTGCAAGCTCCAGCCCACAAGACGAAGTTTAAAGCCCATCAGCATGGCATCTGCCACCCTTCATAGTTTTGCCTATATTTTGTCTACAAAGGTCTAGTCAAAGCAATGGTTTTTCCAGTAGTCATATGTGGATGTGAGAGCTGGACAATAAAAACAGGCTGAATGCCAAAGAACTAATGCCTTCAAACAGTGTGTTGGAGAAAACTCTTGAGAGTCCCTTGGACTGCAAGGAGGTCAAACAACTCAATCGTAAAGGTAATCAACTCTGAATATTCATTGGAAGGACTGATGGTGAACCATCACGTCCAACACTTTGGCTACCTGATGCCAAGAGTCGGCTCACTGGAAAAGACCCTGATGCAGGGAAAGATTGAAGGCAGGAGGAGAAGGGGACGACAGTGGATGATACGGTTGGATGGCATCACCGACTCGATGGACAGGCGTTTGAACAAACTCCGGGAGATGGTGAAGGACAGGGAAGCCTGGCGTGCTACAGGCCACGGATCGCAAAGAGTCAGAAACGACTGAGCGACTGAACAACAGAAATTCTTCTGCCCCAGGCGGTCTTTCCTCCCCAAACCCCTACGCCCTCCAGTGGCTGCTCACGTTAATACGGAAGATCCGGAGGGGAGGAGACGGGCGTCCCTTGAAGCGGAGCCCACAGCGCAAGCTCGCCGCTTCTGGCGAGCGTGTTTTAGGCGGCGCTTAAGGAGGCGAAGGGGCCCCAAGCCCCCCTCGGGCCCCATCCTGGCTCACGGCGCCTCCAGGTCCTCTCCGCAGGTTCAGACAGCCTGTTTGCTCTCACGGGATGCTCTGCTACGTGCTCATCCCCGCGGCAAACAAACTCGGTTTAGACCTCCCTGAAGACCCCGCGGAAGGAAGCCCGCCCTCGCGCTCGTGTGCCCGGCTGGCGTCCCCGCGCTGCGCGGTTCACCCGGCGGCGAGTTTGGCGCTTCCGGCGCCCGACGCCCCCGCGTGAACTCGGGGCAGAGGGCGGTCACGTGGGACCTGGCTCGGGGCCTGGCTCGCGCCGCCCTGCTTCTGCCTTTCGACTTCTCCAGCCATCCGCAGACCCCCAGACAGCCGGTAACCGCGTGCGGAGACAGAACCGAAAGGAGAGCAGAGGCTCCGGGCTCACAAGGTCCTCGGAGCCGCACCGCTTCCACGCACCTCCTAATCCGCTTCCTAACCCGGACCCCGCGCCCACCGCTGCGGGGGCGCAGGGGACGCGCGGGGCGCGGTGCCGCGCGGGCTGGAGCGGGGTCGCTGTGTCCCGATGCCCGGGCGCACCGTGTGCCCAAAGGGCAGTGGGATGTGGAGGCTCCGGTCCCGCCTGGGGAGCGGGGCTGGCCGCGGAGGGGCGGGCCTGTGGGCTGGGGGATGAGTAGGGCGTACGGGGACGCCTCTAAACCGCAGCGGGATTTCTGCGAAGGAAGGGTCCTGGGAAAGGCCTTGCTCCGGGTGGATGAAACCGGCTTCTATTTTTGGCCCAAGCAACTGAACTGAATGCCCGGCCTAGTGGGCAGCAGGCGGGTGGGCAGGGACACCCTCTGTCCACCTCCTGCCCAGGCAGAGAGCGAGAGGAGGCGCTAATCCCTGTGGTCCAGGCACCAGCTGCCCAAACCCACAGACCATGTCTCATCCCCAGGGGCCGGAGGTGAGCGGAGGAAGGAGTTCTGACCCCGAGTCTGACCTCCATTCTGGCCTGGATGGACCATGTCAGTCCTCAGGAAGGACGCGGGCCGGCGGGGGAGGAGGGCTAGCCCAGGGACCTGTCCTGGAATCACTGGCCTGGCGACGCTTCCACTGGGTCGGCAAGAAGTCTTGGGGAGATGTGCCTTTAACCAGAAAAGAGGTCTTACCACTTCAATATTTTAAAACCCTGGGGGAAGTGTCTTCTTTCTACCAAGGCTTTAGGGGAGGAGGGGACATTGTTCTCTGTTTATTTTGCATTATTTTAATGTATTTTTATTTGCCTTACTTCAGTTAATCCTCATAATATCTTTGGGAGTGGGCAACTTTTTCAACTTCAGGAACTCCCGCGGTTGCCCAGCTGTTGTTGGTGAGATGCCCACCAAAACACACAACTCATGCACACACTCACACACACACACTCTCACACACTCACACACATCCTCACACACACACATGCACACACACACTCACACATGCACACTCACACACTCACATACATCCTCACTCACATAGGCACACACTCACACATCCTCACACACACATGCACACACACACACACACACACACACACTCTCACACACAGCACATGCTCCTTTTCCTCAGGTGGGCAGACATTCATTCAAGCCGCTGCCTGGCAACCCTGGAGGCAGGAGGAGGGGTGGGGCAGAGGCCTTGGAAAGCAGAGGAGAATGGTGGGGGCCGGGTGGGGGCTGCTGCCTTGTCCCCTGGAGTGTTTCAGTCACACTAGAGCGTGAGGAGGGGGTCCAAGGGCCTGGGGCCTCCTGGATTTTTCAAGAATTACTCAGAGAGTTGCTTCATTAAGGTGGAGAAGACCGTTTTCTTCATCTGTGTAGAAACGGCTCTGCTCTGGTGCCCCACAGGGCCGGGAGAGTCAAACGAATCCTGAAGAGCGCCCTTGCGTGGTCTGGTAAATCCGGTGATGGGCGGGACGGGTGCAGAAGAGGCAACGGGGCCGGTAACTGGCTGACAGGCTGGCTCCGGGCGGGCGAGCCGCCCTCCAGGGACTCGCAGAAGCAGTGGGGGACAGTGCGAGGGGCTACACCTGGAGGGCTCAAGCAACTGCAGTTGTCATCAAAGGAAGTGTGATCTATATTAAAGACACAGGCCCGGGAGGTCAGCTGAGCACCTGGGTCACACCACTATTATAAACAAGAAGAAACGGACTCAAAGAGATTCAACACTTTTTTATGAATTTCACATGAAAGCAGACAAGTGGAGAGCAGCCAGGATATGAAAATGGCTCTTGCTTAAACTTCGGGGGAACACGGAGTGCAAGAACCAAGAACCTCTCGTTTTCATCACACATCCACCTTTTCTCTTGTGGCAAGTCGGGCAGTGCTTTGAATGTGTGTCTTTTGCCTTGGCTTTTCCATCACTAAAACAGAATCTTTATGGTTGAATGAGTGAACATACAGTTAAGTTTGACTGGTAAAAGAAGATCATTCATTTACAAAGATAAAGCATTCCATTTTTAAAGTACCTGGAGGAAACAGGAGCTATTGCAGAAAAACCTAATAGTTGTGGGTTATGTGAACTGAATAACTGTTGAAGTTTGTGGTTTGTTTTGGGTTTTAGGAGTAACACTCTGGAAGACTAAATAATGTTATGATGGCAATACTCCTCAAGTTGGTCTACACATTCAACACAATCCTTTTGAAAATCCCAGCTGCCGTTTTTTTTGCATAAATTGACAAATAGATTCTAAATTCATAAGGAAATACAAGGGACTCAAAATAGCCAACACAATCTTGAAAAAGATCAGAGTTGGAAGACAGATTCCCTATTTCATGACTCACAACACATCTACACTGATGGAGATCATGTGTACTGGCATAAGGATAGACATATGTTGAGAGTTCAGGAGTAAATTCATATATTTATAGGTAACTGATTCTCACCAAGGGTGCCAAGACAATCACTATATTGTGGAAAAAATAGTCTTTTCAACAAGTGGTGCTGGGATAACTAGATATCCACATGCAGAAGAATGAAGTTGGACCTGTACCTCATACCATACACGAGTTGACTTGAAATGAATCAGAGACATAAGTCCTAGAAGAAGACAGGAGTAAATCTTTATGATCTTGGGTTAAATGTGACACTGACATAACAAAGAGCACAAGAAGAAATAGATAAATCAAACTTCATTAAAATGTAGAACATTTGTCTTTCAAAAGGTACCACCAAGAAAGTGAGAAGACAACCTGCAAAGTGAGAAAGATATTTGCAGATCTATATGATAAGAGTCTAGTACCCAGAATATATAAAGAACTCTTAGAAATCAATGATAAAAAAACAATGAAATTTTTGAATGCATAGAGGATTTGAATATACATTTCTTTAAAGATACACAGATGGCCAATAAGCACATGAAGAGATGTTCTACATCACTAATCATTCAGTTCAGTTCAGTCGCTCAGTCGTCCCCGACTCTTTGCAGCCCCATGAACCGCAGCATGCCAGGCCTTCCTGCCCATCACCAACTCCTGGAGTTTACTCAAACACATGTCCATCGAGTCGGTGATGCCATCCAGCCATCTCATCCTCTGTTGTCCCCTTCTCCTCCTGCCCCCAGTCCCTCCGAGCATCAGGGTCTTTTCCAATGAGTCAACTCTTCGCATGAGGTGGTCAAAGTATTGGAGTTTCAGCTTCAGCATCATTCCTTCCAATGTACACCCAGAACTTATCTCCTTCAGGATGGACTGGTTGAATCTCCTTGCAGTCCAAGGGACTCTCAAGAGTCTTCTACAACACTGCAGTTCAAAAGCATCAATTCTTCGGTGCTCAGCTTTCTTCACCGTCCAACTCTCACATCCATACATGACCACTGGAAAATCCATAGCCTCGACTAGACGGACCTTTCTTGGCAAAGTAATGTCTCTGCTTTTTAATATGCTATCTAGTTTGGTCATAACTTTCCTTCCAGGGAGAAAGTGTCTTTTAATTTCATGGATGCAATCACCATCTGCAGTGATTTTGGAGCCCAAAGAAATAAAGTCAGCCACTGTTTCCACTGTTTCCCCATCTATTTCCCATGAAGTGATGGGACCAGATGCCATGATCTTCATTTTCTGAATGTTGAGCTTAAAGCCAACTTTTTCCCTCTCCTCTTTCACTTTCATCAAGAGGCTCTTTAGTTCCTCTTCACTTTCTGCCATAAGGGTGGTGTCATCTGCATATCTGAGGTTATTGATATTTCTCTCAGCAATCTTGATTCCAGCTTGTGCTTCCTCCAACCCAGCGTTTCTCATGATGTATTCTGCATATAAGTTAAATAAGCAGGGTGACAATATACAGCCTTGACATACTCTTTTGCCTATTTGGAACCAGTCTGTTGTTCCATGTCCAGCTCTAACTGTTGCTTCCTGACCTGCATATAGCTTTCTCAAGAGGCGGGTCAGGTGGTCTGGTATGCCCATCCCTTTCAGAATTTTCCACAGTTTACTGTGATCCACACAGTCAAAGGCTTTGGAATAGTCAATAAAGCAGAAATAGATGTTTTTCTGGAACTCTCTTTTTTGATGATCCAGTGGATGTTTCCCCATGGAAAAGAAATGCAAAAAAACAAAATGGCTGTCTGAGGAGGCCTTACAAATAGCTGTGAAAAGAAGAGAAGTGAAAAGCAAAGGAGAAAAAGAAAGATATTCCCAATAGAATGCAGAGTTGCAAAGAATAGCAAGGAGAGATAAGAAAGCCTTCCTTAGCGATCAATGCAAAGAAATAGAGGAAAACAACAGAACAGGAAAAACTAGAGATCTCTTCAAGAAGATTAGAGATGCCAAGGGAATATTTCATGCAAAGATGGGCTTGATAAAGGATAGAAATGGTATGGATCTAACAGAAGCAGAAGATACTAAGCAGAGGTGGCAAGAATACACAGAAGAACTGTACAAAAAATATCTTCACGACCCAGATAATCACGATGGTGTGGTCACTCACCTAGAGCCAGACATCCTGGAATGTGAAGTCAAGTGGGCCTTAGGAAGCATCACTACAAACAAACTAGTGGAGGTGATGGAATTCCAGTTGAGCTATTTCAAATCCTGAAAGATGATGCTGTGAAGGCACTTTCACTCAATATGCCAGCAATTTTGGAAAACTCAGCAGTGGCCACAGGACTGGAAAAGGTCAGTTTTCGTTCCAATCTGAAGGAAAGGCAATACCAAAGAATGTTCAAACTACCGCACAATTGGACTCATCTCACACACTAGTAAAGTAATGCTCAAGATTCTACAAGCCAGGCTTCAGCAATACGTGAACCGTGAACTTCCAGATGTTCAAGCTGGCTTTAGAAAAGGCAGAGGAACCAGAGATCAAATTGCCAACATCCCCTGGATCATCGAAAAAGCAAGAGAGTTCTAGAAAAAACACTAATCATTAGGAAAATGCAAATCAAAATCACCATGAGATCCCACTTCACAGCAACTAGGATGGCCAATAATCAAAAAGATGGACACATGACAAGTGTCAGGGAGGACATGGGAACACTGGAACCTTTTGTGCCTTCTTATTTGCTCAGTCGTGTCCAACTCTTTGTGACCCTGTGAACAGTAGCCTACCAGGCTCCTCTGTCCTTGGGGTTCTCCAGGCAAGAATGCTGGAGTGGGTTGCCCTTTTCTCCTCCAGGGGATCTTTCTGACCCAGGGATTGAACACACATTTCCTGTGTCTCCTGCAATGGAAGGTGGATTTTTTTACCACTGAGCCACCTGGGAAGCCCTATACATCACCAGTGGGAATGAAAAACATGTTTCCCCTTTGGAATCCTGTTTGGCAATTCTTCAATAAGTTAAGCTTGGAGTTACTTCAACTCCTAAGTATACACCCAAGAGAACTGAAAACATATGCACACAATAACTTGTATGCAAACATCCACAGCAGCATTATTCATAAAAGCCAAAAAGTGGAAATAACCCAAATGTCCATCAGCTGATGAATGGATAAACAAATGTGGTCTAGCCAAACAATGGAATATTGTTTAGCCATTAAAAAATGAGGTTCTGATACATGCTACAACATGGATGAACCTGGAAGACATTACGCTAAGTAATAGAAGCCAGACACACTAGCACACACGTCCAGATTCCACTTATATGAAGTCTGGAGTCAGCAAATCTGTAGAGACAGAAAAGTTCATTAGTTGTTGCCAGGGGCTAGAGGAAGGAACAATGGAAAAGTGATTGCTAAAGAGTGTGGGGTTTTTTGGGGTGATGACAATGCTCTGGAGTTAGATATTTCTGATGGTTGCACAACTTTGTGATTATTTTAAAGCAATTGAATTATACGCTTTAAAAGAGCGAATTTAATGTATGTTAATTATAGCTCAATTTTTTTTTTAATGTTCAGTTGTGGGTAAAAAAATAAATAAGAAAGACTAACACTCAAGAAGTATGGCCTGGCAGTGCAGCCATCAGCTCATGAGACATGAGCCCTGACTCTCCCAAGAAAAGGGGCTAACCAGACCCTCAAAGAGAGAGAACCGAAGTTAGGATCACCCCCCACCCCTCGCACTCCTCTCCCTAGAGTGGGTACAGCCGACTGAATTTCCCACCAGTCTCCTTCAGAAGTCTCAGCCACCCTCCCCCGGGCCTCTTGTAGTCCATATCACATTGTGGACGGCCCCACACTGTTACCTGCCAGATACCAGCCCGTGTCTAATACGTGCAATGGTTTCCACGTATTCCCCAAGTCTGAAATCTGAATGGCCTTTAAAGAATTCAGACTGCAAAGGAAGCAAGGCAGAACTTACAGGTATGGTCTTTGCAGCACTTTTTGTAACCCTGAAAAGGTGGCAACAGCTAACTACCTAGCAATAAGGAATGTGGTAGAAAAATCACGGTGCATCCTTACCGTGGAGCATTATGGAACTCCTGGAAATAGTGTCTAATAAATAAGTTGTAGTAACATGGGGAAATGCCTATGATAATGGCAAGCAAAAAATGCAAGAGACGTGATTGTATGGGTATCATTTTCTCAACCGTGATAGAAATACACTTAAGAAATGCATCATTCTGTTAACAATGGTCATCTTTAGTGGTTGAATATCTTCTGTCTACATTTTCTTTTAAGGCTGTGCACAGTAAGTATGTGCTGTTCTTGTTATTTAAAAACTCATTTGGGATGAAATCCGGTGGTGAAATGGAACAGAATTTTGACACAGCCTGGGGTGAGACCAGGGGTTGGGCAGGAAGATGCAGTTGGCCTCACGGCCTCTCTGCAGCATCCACTGGCAGAAGCCAAAGGGGGAGGCGTGGCGTCACCTTGGACATCAGCCGTGCCCGCCGCAGGGCTTGAGGTGGTGGCTGGCGGTTCCCGACCGCGTCTGCTCGGGCAGCCGGGCCGCAGTGCTGACCTGAGACAGGAAACCTGTGGATCGAGTGCCACGAGCTCTGTGACTCGGCTGATTATCAACACTGAAGATCAGGGCCTTTAGAGTTTCTCTGGTGGCCTCCTGCACATTATTTCTTTCGATTCTCTAACAACTGAAATAAGGCCCATGATGACCTCCTGGTACTGACAAAGGAAACCAGTCTGTGTTTGTAAATGAAATACGAGATGCAGTAGCAGATAACCCCCAGTTTCTCGGTGGCTCAGCACAACAGAAGTTGGTTCCCTGTTCACTTAACAGTCACATCCACAGACCACTTCTGGCGTGGCGGCATCTCACGTGGCATTTCAGGACCCGAGTCCTGGCCTCTGTGGCTCTGCCCTCTTCTACATGCTCTGAACTTTCTCCCCGCCAGCAGGTAGGGAAAGAGAGCGTGGAAGCCCAAGACAGGCCTGGACATGGCCTTCGTGCCTTCCATGACTATCCCATCAGCCAGAATCCGTCCCAGGGCCCCCACTAGCTTCCCCTGGGTACCCGGGGGGAGGAAATGATTCGAAGAAGACCTAGAATGTCTGCCAGAGACTTGAGCGCGAGCAGGCCTTGGTTGGAAGTCAGGCAGCTGACCAGAGGCAGAGCCTGTGGTCCCGCCCTCCCCCAGGGCCTCCAAGTCCTCCCCTCTGGGATGTTCTCTGGTCTCCTGCTACCAGCATCCCTCCAGGGCATCAGTGCTGGAGTGACCACTAGGAGGGGTGAGAGAGTCCGATGAAAGCACTGATGGGAAATAAGTCTTAGCCCTTCCAGCTCCATCAGGCATCCCCTGCCGCGTTTCCTTTCCAGGTCCGCTCTCCCCTTAAACATCAAGAGGGAAGCAGACGCCCGCTTGAAGGCAGTTCGTTCCCGTGCTTAGGGACCATGCAGTCATTTACAGGCTTGTTTCTGCGAGAGCAGGACTTCAGAGGCTTTCAGACCACGTAGGGCGTCTCCCCGCCAGGTGGAGGGCAGTCCTCAGCTCTGCCCCCTGCTCTGGAGGTTCACTTCCCCAGGAAGGTCTTCATTAAAAAAGCCTGAGTAGCAACACGGACTTGGTTGACTACTTACCGTCATTAAACAAAGGGTCTATGATTCAAACGTGCTTTAAAGAAATGCAGGTGTCTGGGCATACTTATTCACTAACATTTATTAAAAGAAATGAGAAGGGATCTAATTAACATCATCTCGACACTTCAAACAGTTTCTTATCTGACCATCGTGTGAACTCTGCTGAGATGGAGTTTCCCATCCCGCGTTTCGTAGCTGGAAGCTGGTACCTTGACTGGTGAGTGAGAGGACCGGGCTTCTCTCCTCTGCAACCTTGCGTTCCTGGCTTGTAATCTCCTTGAACCCATTTCCTTGTCTGCAAAGTGAAGGAGTAAAAATTAGTCAGTTAATAATGCCTACTTTTAAGAGTTAGGGAGAATTGAACGGGTTAAATAAGTTCCCTGATGGTTCAGTGGTAAGGAATCTGCATGACAGGCAGAAGACCCAGGTTCGATCCCTGGGTGAGGAAGATATCCTGGAGAAGGGAATGGCAACCCACTGCAGTATTCTTGCCTGGGAAATCCCATGGACAGAGGAGCCAGGTAGGCTACCGTCCATGAGGTCACAAAAGACCTGAACACGACTGAGCGACTAAACCACAAACAGTAAATCCGTAGCATCTGAGACACACTTGTGACGACTGCTTCACTTACAGATAAGGAAACGGGGGTGCAGACAGTATCTCCTCAAAGCCAGGAAGCCAGGAGTGATGAGGCTGGTGAGCCTCTGGGTTGAGTGCCTCAATCTTCCTCTTCTGCCTTTATTTTCCAGGAAATGTGATGGATAAGGCACAGACACCAATGATGCACCAGCCCATAGTTCACAGTTAAAGAGTTCTTTCTATTTAATTCATAAAATGTCTCAATCACTGTCTAGTCAAACTCTGCTGCTTTTAAAATCATTCTTTATTCCAGCTTCTTGAATTAAAAGCATCTCTCATTTCTCTTCACTCTTTCTCACCCGGGATGAATACTCAGGTGGGCATTCTGGAATTTCCAGAGCCATCTCCTTAAAATGCAGTAAGAATTTATCACCGTCTCCAGCCCCCTCATGAACAGGACTGGTGGAGAGTGGGATGAAGAGGGACAGACCTGCCTCCTGGGGTCCTGAGACCCAAGGACCGGTCCACCGCCTGGCTGTTGTATCCTGGCAGTTTATTCTCTGAATCTTGGGTTCCTCAATCATAAACTGGAGATACCTCTTACCTCACAAGCCCATAGGATCAGATGGAGTGTTAGTCACTCAGTCTTAACAACCCCATGGACTGTAGCCCACCAGGCTCCTCTGTCCACGGGAATTCCCAGGCAAGAATGCTGGAGTGGGTAGTCATTCCCTTCTCCAGGGGATCTTCCCAACCCAGGATCGAACCCGACGTTCCTGCATCGGCAGATGGATTCTTTACCACTGTGCCACCGCAGAGGCCCCCAGATGGAGTAGAGCTTGTTGCAAATTGTAAATTTCTGTGGGATTGTTTTTTACTGCCGAAACCACCCATCCATCACTAGGCAGTTCTTCAAATAAGAGACAGATCTCTTTCCCCTGGCAAGAATCATGACTAATATATTCCAGGATGCTTTGCATGTTCCCGGCCTTAAAATAAAACTGCACCCGAACAGGAATGCAGACTCGATCCTGCATTCCCCAGCTCTCACTGAGTCTCTTCTCTCTGCCGGGCTTCGAGCCCAGTGCTCCGAGAAGACAGGATGGATGGCGTTAGTCCACCCTCGGCTCCTTCACGGTCCAGTGCAAGAAGCCAGATGTTCGTGTAAAGTGGCTTATGCTTTAAGAGGGGAACAACAACCCAGAAAAGCGTTAGAAAAGCTGGAAGAAGCAGGGGTTACTTTGAGTTTAGTGAAATCAGGAAAAGCTTTTTGGAGGAGAAAATGCTTGAGTCTTTAAAGTTGGCTCATCTTTGGCAGGTGAAGGGAAACACCGGAGAGCGGCTTGGAGGCCGGAAACGGCAGGGAATTTGCAGGGACCTGGGAGGAGCGTTCTTTTTTTTTTTTTTAATTTTTTTTTCATTTATTTTTATTAGTTGGAGGCTAATTACTTTACATCATTGCAGTGGTTTTTGTCATACATTGAGATGAGTTAGCCATGGGTTTACATGTATTCCCCATCCCGGTCCCCCCTCCCACCTCCCTCTCCACCCGATCCCTCTGGGTCTTCCCAGTGCACCAGGCCCGAGCACTTGTCTCATGCACCCAACCTGGGCTGGTGATCTGTTTCACCCTAGATAATATACATTTTCGATGCTGTTCTCTTGAAACATCCCACCCTCGCCTTCTCCCAGAGTCCACAAGTCTGTTCTATACATAGGAGTCTCTTTTTCTGTTTTGCATATTGGGTTATCGTTACCATCTTTCTAAATTCCATATATATGTGTTAGTATACTGTAATGGTCTTTATCTTTCTGGCTTACTTCGCTCTGTATAATGGGCTCCAGTTTCATCCATCTCATTAGAACTGATTCAAATGAATTCTTTTTAATGGCTGAGTAATATTCCATGGTGTATATGTACCACAGCTTCCTCATCCATTCGTCTGCTGATGGGCATCTAGGTTGCTTCCATGTCCTGGCTATTATAAACAGTGCTGCGATGAACATTGGGGTGCACGTGTCTCTTTCAGATCTGGTTTCCTCGGTGTGTATGCCCAGAAGTGGGATTGCTGGGTCATATGGCAGTTCTATTTCCAGCTTTTTAAGGAATCTCCACACTGTTTTCCATAGCGGCTGTACTAATTTGCATTCCCACCAACAGTGTAAGAGGGTTGGGAGGAGCATTCTGACTTGACTGAATCAAAGGTCCGTAACAAGCAGAGGTGAGGGAGCTGGAAAGTCACACCGATGACTGTTTTCTAGGAAAGAGGAAGAGGCCTCGCAGGGGTTCACAGAGGACCTGGAGTGGATGGAACCGGAGGCAGGCAGAGCTTGTTGGGGGCCGCTGCACTGGTCCAGACGTGAGGACGGCAACTCCGGGGACCAAGAGACCCTCTGGGCGTGTATAATAGAATCCACACCACTCGTCTGAGTAATATAAAAGGTCTGGGAATCTACAAACTGGTAAGCAAGTCAGGGTTTGTCTCAATGTTTCAAAAGCTCCACAGATTCAGGCATTTGACACATCTGCATTAGACGTGAGCTGGGGGCTGAGGACACAGACTGGGGCAGGGGTGGGAGGTGGGCAGGCAGGCGGACCCTAAACAGGTACTGCCGTCCAGAAATGAGGGACCAAGGAGCAGGGTGATAGGACAGTGTCCTGGTGGCAGGACTGTGCTGCGCAGGTAGGGAGGTGACACTGGGCCGAACTTTAAATGATGCGCATAAGAGCCAGGGCAGAGCTGGGCAAAGAGCCATCGACACAGCTTCGAATCCAAATAACCGTTTAGGGTGTTCCCTTTGGGCATCAAGACGCCAAGGCCCCAGATTTCCGTTGTAGTCCAGGGGTTAAGAATCTGCCTGCCCATGCCTGGGACACAGGTTCGATCCTGGGTCCGGAAGGTCCCACGTGCTGAGGGGCCACTCAGCCCTTGTGCTGCAGCCAGTGAGCCCGTGAGCCGCCACTATCGCGGCCACTATCGGGGCCTCCGGGCCCCGAGCTCTGCAGCTGGAGGGCAGCCCTCACTCGCTGCAACTAGAGAAAGGCTGCGTGTAGCAACAAGGACCCGGTCTCAAAAATGAATATGTAAAAAGAATCCAAGGTCCCCCTGAGCCCCCTAAACAGGGGACGGGCTCTCGTTTTCCATCCTGTAGATGCTTCACCTGTCTCTTGGGTTTAGGAGACTCTCAACCTCTAAGTACTTCTTTTTTCTCCCACAGTGGTTACGGGCCTGTTTCCCATCTCTTCTTCCAAATAGCTGACTTTTGGGTGTCTGACTGGGTTTTTATTAAGTTTCTCCAAGAGACCAGCTTCACAGATAAGACGGAGCACTACATAGAAGTGTCCTAGAAGCTTCTAGATGTTGGATAGGCAAGACTGTCCCACTGATACATGATAGGATCAATTTACTAGACCGCTAGGCGATTTTCACAAAAAGGCAAATTTTTCAGTCCAAAAGGTGAGTCCACCCATCCGGTCTGACAAATGCTGTTTCTGTCTTGATTCCTTGTCTGAGACCATTTGCCAAAACCTCATTCATGAATCAGTAGTTAATCTGAGGAGTTCCCAATTAATTCAGTAGTGCATTGGTTCCAGGCATAAGACATCAATTTGATTTGGTTATAAAATTTAATATTCTATAATTCACAGAGGATCTAATCCATGCACCATCTGGTTTTGGAAGAAAGACCTCTGGGAAAAAGCAGGGTTTTGCAGGATGAACATTTCTCATCTTCTTCCTGATGTCACTCCAAACCTTTCCATTCACACTGAAAGATGGTCATCTATTAAGAATATTCCCCCTCATTTCAAGAACGCTAAGCCTGTCCCACATGGCTTACTTGGACGTGTTCACTTGGACTTGGATTCTCTCGTCCTCTTGCCCTGACTAATCGTCTCAAACCACATCAGGTGTTCCCTGCTCCGTAGTCGAGGGCTGTGAGTGAATATACCCTGCATACTATAACCTGGCTGATCTCCCTAAACCTCCGTTCTAGCTCTTGTAACCTGGTGTTGGTTGGTGGCGGTGGTTTAGTCGCTAAGTCACGTCCAACTCTTGTGACCCCATAGACTCTAGCCTGCCAGGCTCCTCTGTCCACAGGATTTCCCAGGCATGAATACTGGAGTGGGTTGCCGTTTCCTACTCCAAGGGATCTTCTGGATTGAACCCGTGTCTCCTGTGCTTCAGGCAGGTTCTTTGCTGTCTGAGACACCAGGAAAGCTCTTTTGTTGTCTCCCTTTGTTCTCATGCACGAGACCATTTAAGCCCACAGAGGTCATTTGTCCAAAACCCAGGATCCCTGCCTACCGAGTGCATCCTGCTCAAACACTGAGCAGCCCAGCTCCCACCACTGTATATCGTAAGGACGCTTGAACATCCACGTGGCCTCTCTGCCTGGCTGTCCAGCCTCTTCCCCTCTCCTGTCTCAGCCATCATGTCCAGTGGAGCTAGGGTGTCATGAGTTCTCTGAGCCTGTCGTGATCCCGAGGGCCTTACCTGGCCTCCTTGGATCAGCCCCACGAGTCATGGGTAGGCTTCAGGGAGACTGACTACCCCAGGAAGACACATGAGGAATTTGTGTTATGTGCTTATGTGAGTCTGTCTGGGTAAGAATCCAGAGTTTTCATCAGCTTCTCAAAAAAGTCAGTGGTCCCTCCCCTCCAAAACAAGTGTTAAAGTTCATTTTACACACGGGTTTCCTTCCTCCAAGTGTCCTGTCCGCCCTCCTGACCGGGGATGTGACATTGCGTTATCATTTCTCTTCAGAACGTAAAACCAAGTACTGACATCAGAACTCAGATTTCCCTTCCCACAGTGGTTTACTGTTCTCTTCTTTCCAAGTATTCATTCAAAGGGAAGAAGCCAGAGTATTCCTAGCGTGGCCTTTACATATGCAACTAATATGTGAGAACCTATTCCAACTGATCGCACATTGTCTGTAAACCTTAATCGTTCCCCTTGGAGTAGGTTTAAATATCTGCCTTGGCACGATGGGCTTCCCAGGTGGTGCTAGTGGTAAAGAATCAGCCTGCCGATGTGGGAGCCACGGAGACACGGGTTCGATCCCTGGGTCAGGAAGATCCCCCGGAGGCGGGCATGGCAACCCACTCCAGTATTCTTGCCTGGAGAATCCCATGGACAGAGGAGCCTGGGGGGCTACCGTCCATGGGGTCGCAAAGAGTCGGACACAACTTAGTAACTAAACAGCAAAATGATAACCACAGACACATTTTGGGGTGTCACCAGTGGAGGGGTCCTCATGGGTAGAAGCCTGGGAGGCTGTTAAACATCCTACAACATACAGGGCGGCCCCCACAACAGAGAATTATCCAGGCCATAGCATCAACTTTGCAGGGGCTAAGGATCTCTGCTCTAGAGCCAGCTGCTCCCGTCCTTCACGCCAGCTCAGCTCTCACCTCCACCCAGCACCCACCATTCCTTCTCCCCTGCTGTTCGTCCTCAGACACCCACAGTCCTGGTCCCCTGCGTGTGGATCTCCAGCGGCACTCTCCACTCTCCGCAAGCTGTAGAAGCCGACAAGGATACACTCGCACCTGACTCCTCCACAATCTCAGAGGCCAGCCTGGAGCTCCGTGCCCTGGGCGAGGGCGCTCAGACACGGGTCACCTGCGTGCACAGGGGACGCCCTCACCTGGCTCTTCTCCCAAACGTCAGTTGCGAGGAATCAGGAAGCCAGGAAGTTCTCACTTCAGAGAGGGCCCTGCCAGCCCCTGCCAGCCATGTCTGGAAGAGACTCAGGCGGCACCAGGCCTCGACCAGCTGCAGGAAAGGAGCCAGGAGTAAAAGAGACGAAGCAAACACGGCAAGAAATAAGATTCTGTGTGCAAACAGAGGTCCCTACAAAAACACTGCAATCAGGAAGGACATGTGGTTGGGTGGGCGCTCGACCAGATTTATAAGTGAGTCAGGGCCACTAGTACCCTCACTAGTAACCTCCGCTGCCCCAAGTCCCAGTCCTAGCAGAGCAGAAACTGGGAGTTCAGGGGCAGCCACACCCCAGGGCTGGGCTGGCTCCCACAGAGGGGCCCGGGCCACCCCTGGGCCGGAGCGCAGACGTGCCAGCCGGTAACTCAGCTTTCCCTCTCCAAGTCCCTGAGCTGTGCAGGAGGCCGAGTGTCCCGCAGGCCTGGGAAACCCAGCATCTAAAGAAACAGGCTCGGTTCTGTCCGGCGGTTGCCCCTCACTCTGGGTGCTCGGAGCAGGCGCTCCACTGGCCCCCAGCTTTACCTGCCTGGAGGCTGAAATGGCAACACGGTCTGTGGAGTCCTGGCTCTGAACCCCTGAGAGCAGGCAAGGGGAGGTGGCGGGCCTCTTGTGAAAGGACTGATTGAAGACAGGTAGGGACGAAAAAGAAGCCGCTCAAAGCTGCAGTCAGAGCCCAAACCCGCAGAGCATTTGGCGCGCGCTTCCCAGCCCCGTCGAGTCCTGCGGGGGCATCTGTCACTCCGCCAGCCTGATGGGCCTCACGATTAATAAAGTAGCACCCCCCACCCCGACCCCAGCCAGGCCAGGCCCCCCTCCCTCCCCCACCCAAACCTCCGCCCCCACGTGTAGTCATTCGCACCCAGTCCTGGGCCTGATGCTGGGAGAGAGGGAGACGAAAGCAGCCTGCTGTCTGCCTCACCTGGATGCTGGCGGCTGCAGCAGAGATAGGGAAGAGCAGAGTCCAGACGGGGAGGGCTGGTGAGGGCCCCTGCTCCCACTCTAGGCTCCAAACTGGCCTCTCAAACTGGAACTCTGAACCAGCCACAGACACAAGCGACATGTGTGCTTTTCAAGTTTCTAGTAGCCACGTTAGAAACACATACCAAGAACTTAGCTCTAATATTACATTTAATCCGATATACCCCAACATTATCATGTTTGGTATTCCAAACATGTAATCAATATAAATAATATCAATGAGATGGATAATTTGCATTCTTTTTATTGGATCAAATCTTTGAAATTCAGTGTGCTTTTGACACTTGGGGAATCTCCCCATCCGACCCAGTCCTGTTTCAGTGCTTGCCTCTGGGGCGGATCTAGAATACTTCAGCACTTTAAGAAAGCACCAATAGATGCCCCAGGCACGAATGTATCGTGTGTGTGTGTGTGTGTGTGTGTGTGTGCGCGCGCCCGTGTGCATGCTCAGCTGCTCAATCACGTCCAGCTCTTTGCAACCCCATGGACTGTAGCCCACCAGGCTCCTCTGTCCATGGGATTCTCCAGGCAAGAATGCTGGAGTGGGCTGCCATTTCCTTCTCCAGGGAATCTTCCCGACCCAGGGATCGAACCCTCATCTCCTGCATCTTGGCAGGTGGATTCTTTGCCACTGTATCTGGAAAGCCCAAGGTATCATATATATAATGGCGCTAAAATAGCACCTGAAATCATGAGATGGGAATTTTTTGATTTACTAGACTTTTCCCACAAGGGGCGCACGTACCACGTGTGGTTGGGAGAAACCCTTTGGGAAGCTCACTGGGCAAGAATGCGGGTAGGACTTGAAGGCGGGACAGTCGCACAGAGAATGTTGGGGTGATTGTAGGTGGAGGCCTGAGCTCCAGCCTTTCAGGGGCGCCCCTGACACCTGAAACCAAAAGGAACCACGAGAGGGGACTCAGGGAGATGGGCCTGCGGTGACGCCTTTATTATTGGAAAAATTGTAACAGCGCCAGTGGCTAGCGTCAGAGAGCACTGAGGAAACTGTGAGCCACCCCCGTGAAAGAACGTTTTGTCATGACTCAGATACTATTTATTTTATATTAGGATATCCCTAGTATAGAATTGTGAGGCAGGAGAGAAAAGCAGGACTATGGAATCGCTTGGAAGAGCTGACCTATATTTAATAAGTGCACAGGAAAAATGTGACAAAACTGCCGTTGGTTTTACTAGGTAGCAGCATTATGGGTGCTTTTTCTGGACTTTCCAATGCTTTTCCGATAGACATGTGTTACTTTGGATCTAGAACGAAGAGCTGGAATGAAAAAAAACCCGATGACTCACTCGCCAGGATTCCCCTACGTGTGCAACTACGCAGTCACACGTGGATGTTGGCAGTGTGTGCGTGTGTGCAGGCAGGCAGGTGTGTTCACGGGCGCATATGTGTCTTTCTGAGCCTGGTCCCCACTAACAGTAGATCTGGCAAGAGGCAGCTTCTTCCATTGGGACATAATAGTTTCCTTGGATTCTGTTAATTGGCTGAAATAACCTTTCTGTGGCCATTCTGGATTCACTTCTAACCCCCAGATCCCGAAGTGCTTGTTCAGAGACTGCGTCTTTGGTGAATGCTTCCAGCGAAGTGTAGAACGGCTTCCCCCCGCATTTTATGTGTAAATAAGACAATAAATCACCTCTGATCTCCATGCCCTCAATACAGAGGCAAAGAACGCGAGATGATTTGCAGCAGAACCTGAAGCCGCATCGCTGCCCTTGCATCTCATCACAGCGTGCTGAGTTCACAGCTGTTCAGAGGGTCATGTTCCAACTGCCTGATTCATGTTAGAGGGGAAGGGGAGAAAGACAGCTGACAGTAAATTAAGAGCAGAAATTTTAAACTATTCAGGAAAAAAATCCCCAAGTGATGATTAAAAGAGACTTGAATCCTTAAATATTTATAGTCGCAACCTATTCGGCTAAGAGACATATGCTCAGAAGACGAGTTTAGAAAACAAAATCATATATTGTGGGAACTCTTTTTTCCCCAGCAATATGGCAGTTATGGCAACCCGTAAGAAAAGCACATCCTAGTGCTTTGAAACGATGGGTTAGTTCTCTGGGCAAATGCTCCCAGTGAAAAACAGTTAAAAACCTGGCTTAAAAGAACACTGGGACATGAGTGAATAAAGAAGATGTGGTATTTTATATCCACATATGTACACACACACACACACGATGGAATATTATTCATCCATTAAAAAAAAAGAAATCTTGCCATTTGCAACAACATGGAAGGACATCGAGGGCCTTATGCTGAGTGAAATAAGTCAGACGTGCTTCCGTCGCTCAGCACACCACCTGTAGCACACCAGGCCCCTCTGTCCATGGGATCTCCAGGCAGGAATACCGGAGTGGGTTGCCATTTCCTTCTCCAGGGCTTCTTCCTGACTGAGGGACGGAGCCCTCCTCTCCTGTGTCTCCTGCATTGGCAGGCGGATTCCTTACCACCAGCATCACCTGGGAAGCCAAATAAGTCAGATGGAGAAAGACAAATGCTGCGTGCCCTCACGTGTGAAACCTTGGAAAGCAGCGAAGACCGAGCTCATCGACAGACGGATCAGTGATTCCAGAGGCAGAGGGAGGAGGGAGGGGCGAAAGGCGTGTAAAGGGCCAGAAGGTACAAATTTCCCAGTTACAGAATAAGTAAATCTTGGGGCTGTAATGTACAGCATGGAGGCTATACCAATAATACTGTATTACATTCTTGAAAGTTGCTTGGAGAGTAAATTTTAAAAGTTCCCTTGAGTAGGAAATGGCAACCCACTCCAGTATTCTTGCCTGGAAAATTCTTTGGACAGAGGAGCCTGGTGGGCTACAGTCCATGGGGTCTCAAAGAGTCAGACATGGCTGAACACAAACAAGGGCCCACCCTAAATCTAGGGTGACCTCATCTCAAAATCTACAATTACACATGCAAAGATTGTTTCCAAATAAAATCACCTTTGCTGGTTATGGGGGTTACCACTTAGGCATACCTTTGGGGACACTATTAAACCTTCTGCAATCTGGTAAAAATAAATACATAAATGTCCTCAACACAAGAAAAAAGTGTTTTTTTAACTATGTGTGAGGACGGACGCTAACTAGACTTATTTTTGTAATCACTTCTCAATGAATATAAATATCCAATCATTACGTTGCATACCTGAAACTAACATGTTACATATCAATTATAACTCAAAAAAATGAAAAAAAAAACACAAAGAAACTAGAAAAGAATAAGAGATTAAATACAAATAAGATAGAAGGGAGGAAATAATAAAGGTAAGAGCAGGAGGCAGTGAACTAGAAAACAAATGAGCAAGAGAGAAAACCCACAAAGTGACAGGTTGGTTCTTTGGAAAGACTCCTAGTGGCTCAGTGGTAAAGAATCCCCCTGCAATGCAAGAGACGCCTGCTCATTGCCTGGCTTGGGACGATCCCCTGGAGAAGGAAATGACAACCCACTCCAGTATTCTTGCCTGGGAAATCCCATGGACAGAGGAGCCTGGTGGGCTACAGTCCATGGGGTCACAAAAGAGTCGGACACGACATAGCAACTAAACAATAATGAAATTGAAACCCCCCCCCCCAGTCATACTTATCGAGAATAAGAGGAAAGATGAAGGAAGAGACTATAAATGGACAATGTCAAGATTCAATATGTACTAAAAAGACCAAGATATTATAAACAATTTTATGCCAATACATTTGCTACATAGATGAAATGGGAAAATCTCTTGAAAAGCACAACTTACTAAAATTGTCATCAGAAAATAGAAAAGGCCCTCTAGGCCTGTAAAAGTAACTGAGTCCGTAATTAAAACCTTTCCACAAACAGAAGTCTAATCTAAGCAAGACTGCTCGTGAGTCCCCCACGCCTCTCACACAGACTCTCAGGAAACAGGTGACACGGGAGTACATCCCAACGTGCTTTACAAGGCCCTGATACCATGATCTGCCAAAGCCATAACAAGAAAGTAAACTTATAGGCCATTTCTGCCAGACTAAGATGTGAAAATTCAAAACTGAACAGTAACAAATCAGACCCAGCAAGTATGGTTTACTCCAGGAAGGCAAGATTGATGCAACATTCAAAAATCAGTCAATGCAATTCACCACATTAACAGAATGAGGGACACACATGAGCATCTCAATAAAGTCAGAAAGCGTATTTGATAAAATTTCATATTCACTTATAATAAAAATTTAAAAGAACTTAGCAAACTAGACCTAGAAGAATATTTCCTTAATCTGGTAAAGAGAAAATTCAAAAGCCTGCCGCCAATAATATGCATAAAATGGAAATGTTGAGCACTTTCCCCCAACCTTCAGACTGAACCAGACAGGAAAGGCCACAATCGTTGCCCCTGTCAACTATGTCGGTAGTATTGGTCTCTGTAAAGCGGCCAGAGAAACAGAAGGTATAAAGTTTCTGTAAAATTAAAAAAAAAGGTAAAATAATGACTGTGTACATACAATGTTCAAAACCATCCACAAACTCTCAGAATCAATGGTTGAATTTAGCAAGGCTATTTCATACATGGTTAATATACGAAAATCAAATCAGGTATTCTAGAAGGTGGCTCAAAGTCTAGCTAACCTTGACAACTTACTTTCTCCATCCAGCTGATGTTAGTGGAGATGGGAGTCTGGCTGGAGCCACCTCCACGTTCGTTGCAGGAGGATGAGGGGGTGCCCCCCAAAGGGGGAGCAGGTCCTTTGTCTAGAGAAGCAAGCCTTTGGGGAGTTGTTGGTTATGAACAGAAGACCCGAGGGGCTGGCTGCAATGGGGAGTTCTGGTAAGAGAACTGAAGTTCTGTGTATCGTAATAGGAAAGGCTAGTCCCTGAGAAGTGGATAATGACCTACTTTTGAATACCTTTCAGCTCCTTCTGGAAAAAGATCAAGGACATAGAAAGGACCCTGGCTCTAAGTGGACCCCAGAAGTGTGCTGAGAGGCAGGGCCTGAGGAGTATTTTGAATTGTTTCATAATTTGCATCTTAATTCCTCTCTAGTAACCACCAGAGGTTTCAGCAAATGTTTATTAGCTGTTAATTAGCTGTCTGGTTTATTTTGGCACTTTCTTAGGAAACAAAGGAAGCAGGTGAATTGTCCACAGGAAGACAGGAGGCAGTAAAGACGTGTCGGGAGGAGCCGGGGAGAGGACCTGGCTGCCGGCGTGGACAGGACCAACTGGTGACTGGAGACCATAGCTGATAGGCGTTCACTGGGACTTCTCAGAAATACTTGGGAGGGGACTGAACTTACTGAAACCAAATGTGGGGTGTGGACTTGAGTTTTTCTATTCGGTTAGCAAGAGAATTGTCACCTCTCAGTTATCTGCAGACTTGGGGACATTCAGGTTACATTGAATTACTGTACTGATAATAAGTAACATTCATGGCAAAATAAAACACTATATAGTTTGCAAAGCATTTCCCTGTTTGCTGTATCATTTCATAGATGATTTGTTACATGTAAGTTTCTAAACCTATCCCGATATTTGGAAGAGAATACATTTTCCCTGAAACGGTGCATGTAAAAATATTTAAACAGACCCCAGCACCGTCTTAGAATAGGTTACACAGTTACTCATTACAATTAGTAAGTAATTTATTCCCTGTACAGTAAAGCCAACCTCCCAACCCATTTGAAATAAGACTTTGACTCTATCCCGAGCTCTTCAGGAGCATCATTTTTTAAGAGTCTATTGACCCTCCCTTGTGGCCCAGCCAGATGGCCTCTGAGCCTCCTCCTCTCAGCTGTCAGGACGCGTGGAAATGGGGTAGAGAGGATAAAAAAGAGCCTCCGAAAGACTCGTGGGTCCAACGTAGTAAATACTCTGCTTCCACCGCAAGAGCTAACCTGAAAAGACTGCATCGGAGATGGAGCAGAGACAGTAGGAAATGGTGTCTGCTCTATCCGGGAATAACCTCATCTGCCTTTTCTTCCCCTAAACCAGTGCCACCAACCTTTTTGGCACCAGGGTCCAGTTTCTTGGAAGACCATTTTTCCATGAGACTGGGGAGCAAAGGATGGTTTCAGGATGATTGAAGCACAGGACATTTACTGGGCACTTGATTTCTATTATTACTACATTAGCTCCACCTCAGATCATCAGGTGTTAGATCGCAGAGGCTGTGGACCCCTGACCTAAACGGAAGCTAACCCATCAGTCCTCTCTTCCTCAACCAAGTGTTGACCTCATATTTCCAGGTGGCGCTAGTGGTAAAGAACCCGCCTGCCAAAATGCAGCAGGCATAAGAGATGTGGGTTGGATCCCTGGGTTGGGAAGATGCCCTGGAGGAGGGCATGGCAATCCACTTCAGTATTCTTGCCTGGAGAATCCCCATAGACAGATGAGCCTGGCGGGCTACAGTCCGTGGGGTCACAAAGAGTAGGACATGACTGATAGAGCATGCACACACATGCATTAACTACATTAACCACAAAAGCACTTACAAAGTTCTGCCGATGCAGCCACAGCAAGCCAGCAAGAAGCTCTGCACTATGAAGAGGAGATCAGGCCGCAGAAAATGCTTCTGGAGGATAAGGCTAGTTCCACAGTATCATTTTTTTAAGTTAAAAACAAGACTGCTTTATACTAATATAGAAAGAACATGCTTCCAAAACTTGCTTTATTCATTAATAAAAAAAAAAAACTGGCAGAATTACAAAGCTTACTCAAAGAGAACTGGAAAGACTGACTCCTGAACAATATAAAGCTATAATAAGATTGTTAAGTTAGACATAAAACAGATTTTTCTATCTGCAGGGCAATGAAACCAAAACTTCTGTCACTATCGTTTCTAAAGAAGAAAAAAAAAATGTATCCCTCCTGGACACACAGAATCATTTCCAGCCTATAAATCTCCATGTCAACATCTAATTTCTAACATCTGTTGTCGTTGTTGTTGTTGAGTCACTAAGTCATGTCTGGTTCTTTTGCGACCCCACAGACTGTAGCCCGCCAGGCTCCTCTGTCCATGGGATTTCCCAGAGAAGAATACTGGAGTGGGTTGCCATTCCCTTCCCCAGGGGATCTTCCCAACCCAGGAATCAAACCCATGTCTCCTGTATTGCAGGCAGATTCTCTACCACTGAGCCACCTCGGAAGTGTTTCTAACACCTAACCAATCATAGAAAGTAAGTGAGACAGTGGATGACTCCCTTTAGACGATGCTTGAAAATGACGATAAAAGGACACAGTCATCCTTTTACTTATCCAATTTGGGGGGATTTTTTCTTAAGACTTAGGATACATAGGACGAAGTATTATTTTATTAATAAACCTCAAGTGCATGGCTGTAAGAATTTAGCCCTTTCACTGACATATTGCAGCAAGTTGCTCTGGCATTTCTGTACTTACTGGTGTGTTTGTTTAAAATGACCGATTTCTACAACAAGCACAGAGACCCCAGGAGGAAGGATCCTCCTTCCTGGAACATCTGAACTGCCTTGCTTTGCTATCACGACGTCTTCAAGGATCTGCTGGAAGGTGCACAAGACTCAGAGCATTCAGACTTTCCCCTTAACCAGTCAAATTTAAACAACTTGATGGCCATGTCTTTCAAGAAAAATACAGAAATAAATCTTCAAGAAAAAAGGCCAGACCAACTCAGAAGGGGGAAAAAAAACCCCTCGTCCTTTGGAGGAACAGTTAGTTCACTTGACTTTTTCTGAGAACTCTGGCCTTGGGGCGGCCTCGGGAGGTGTGCCCACGCACGCTGGGCCGTCTGCCGCTGGACGAGTCGGGGCCCTTATGATGCTCCCGGGGAAGTGTCATGACACAAACAGCGGGGGTCTCTCCCCGCTCAGACCCCGAGCCAGAAGGGGCCCTAACGCCGCATGCTGCCCACACAGCTCACCAGGGAAGGAGAGAAACTAGGTCTGCAGCCATAGCGTCTTGTAGGGCTGTCTGGAGCCAAGCAAAGGCTGCTGTAAAAACCAACAAATGAAAACTTGGCACTCGGAGACTGCTTCGTGTCCAGGCTGGTTTGGAATCTTACATCAGAGGCCACAAATGCTAACAAGTGTTGGGACTGGTGGTCACTTCACCTGAACAGATGTCCTGAGCCCTGTGGGGGCTGTGGGGCCTGGAGACCCCCTCTTCCCTTGGCAGTAGGGAAGTGCTACCCAGGGCCTCTCCCTGTGACCATGTGGGAGCAGTGGCCTGGTGTTGCCAAAGCTTCTGGTGTTTTTTAAGATGGAAATTCAATGTGTGTGTGCAATCTCCTGGTTTCAGCTTTGATTCCTTTTTTTTTTTCCCCCTTAATGTTGAAGAAAAGCGAAGAAAACTCACCTCTGAGCCAGGAGGTGGTGCCCTCTGCAGGGATGGTTCCCTTTGTCTCAGAACCAGCATCCCCAGTGGTCCCCAAACGCCCTGCTCCCAGACCATCTGGTTCCCATCCCCGGTACCTCGTCGGCAGGGTGCTTTTCTGTCTTGCTTCTTTGGGTGGAAGACGCTCAGGCAAACTTTTTTAATATAAACTTATTCATTCACTTCTGTCTTCTGGCCGTGCTGGGTCTCTGCTGCTGCCCAGCTCTCTCACGTGGCTCTGAGGGGGTCTGCCCTCCAGCTGTGCCGCACCGGCTCCCCATCGCGGGCCGGAGGGTGCTTGGGCCTCCGGCGTTCAGCACCCGGGCTCAGCAGTTGCGGATCCTGGACTCCAGCGCACAGGCTTCAGGAGCCGTGGCTCAGGGCTTTAGTTGCTCCGAGGCATGGGGCATCTTCCCGGAAGAGGCATTGAAGCTGTGTGCCCTGCATTGGCAGGCAGATTCTTCACCACTGAGCCACCAGAGAGGCCATCAGGCAAACTTTTGATCAGTCTCTCCTAAGGTTTGCCTTTCAAATCATCTCTCTTTGCTTGATCTCCTGCAGCCTTTGGATAAGTAATGTTTTACCTCTGGATTTGACCTTGGCGTCCAAAGAACACACCCTAATTTGGGCCTGGCATCCCACTATTGCTTGTATGAACAAAGATTCTGGGCTAGTGTGTGTGTGTGAGAGAGAGAGGGAGAGACAGAAAGAGAGAGAGAGGCAGGGTGTTGAGGGCCTGGAGCGCTGGAGGGATCAGTAATAAGAATGTTGAGTTGGGTTCAGAGAAATGGGTTTGTTCCAAAACACAGGCTGGGATATGAATAGCATGGGACACTGAGGATTTGAACCTGACAAATTACGACTGTTTTCTTAGCCACATTGCATGATCCTTACTGGCTCTCAGCCCCGGCCGCGCATGACGACTCAGGGAGCCTTTATTTATAACATAGAAATCACTGGGCACCACCTCCAAAATTCTGATTCAACTTGTCTGGACTATATGACTTGGCTTCAGTGCTTTTTAAAAGTTCTCCCCTGATCATAACACGCAACAGGGTTACGAACCACGGACGGGGGAAAAGCCCCTGAGCCTTGCCAGCTGAAGACTGGCACTCACCCTCAGCCTCTGAAAGGATCAGGTCACAAGGTGCTGAGACCGCTGGCCTTCAACATGTCCTGAAAGGAATTTGGGGCAGAGATCAGGAGCGAGTCACCCTGTGCTCCAGGGAAAACTGGCAGAACAGGCCCTCAGATAGTTGTATGTTTTCAGGAGATGCTTTTACGAGCCCAGTTTCTTGCATCTCCTCATATCTAGAAAAGCGCTAAGATCACTGATGGAGACCCCTGCTCCTGTGACCAGCAGCCACTTTCTGCCAAAATGTGTGCTTGCCTGTACCCACCCCCTCTTCACCAGAGTCGTGTACAACAACTGATCTTTCCCCTACCTTCTGGAGCACTTTGCCAGAACTATCCGAAACTCTGTGTCCTTGGCTAGAGTCCTCGCTTTGCCCCAGAGGAAACAGCATGCTGGTTCAGAAAGCAGATTTTAAAGTCAGTTTCAAAGCGAGCTTCAGTTCTGCCTTCGTCATGGCTCTGTGAACTCGGCCAACATGCCTGGGATATCTGAGGCTCACTCAGTCATGGAAACACAGGGATGGGTGCGGACTTCATGAGGCTGTGTGAAATGAGGCGCTGTTGGCAAAGTACAGTGAATTACGGCTGCTGTTATTATCAGCAGGGGTGAGGGAGAATTTGCTGACTGTTCATTATCTAACAGTATTTTAAATAATCTTGTCCTTGAAAAATAACATGCTAACCATCCATATAAAATCTGACTCCGTAAAATGTGTGCTTTCTAAAAATATTGCCTTGACAAACCATTTTGACAATGACAGAGACTGCAGTTCCACAACTCTTTCAAGAGTTGTGACATGTGGACCCTGAGAAGAATAAGCCCTTCCCACTCACGGTAACATGTGCTGGGAAGTAATAGAAAATGAAATGTTCTTGGCTATTATATACAAGGCACGCTATTGAGCTGTCCTAGCAATAACCCAAGTGCAAATTCAAATAATAGTGAAATGCCTTTGTGGTTTATCAAACTGGCAAAAACTTTTTTTCAACAGCAGCACAAAGAAATTTTGAATTTTATGCACATGTGATATGATAGCAAATTGGTGTGCAATTCTTACAGAAAAATTTAGTCATGTTTATTATCAAAAGCCTTAAAAATACAGATATACTTCGGTTCAACGATTTCACTTCTAGGGATTAATCCTAAAGGAAAAGTATTCAGAGATCCATGAAGTTTCACATACAATCATCTTTATTACAATGCTATTTACAATAGTAGGAAGGTTGGAAAACAACTTAAATGCCAATTATAATTTCAGTAAATTATGATGCATCTCTATGACTAAGTACCATCCATCATTTCTAAACCATGCTTTCCAAGGTTACCAAATGGCAAAGGAAAATGCCCACCAAACACTGTAAGTAATACACACACATATCCAAATAGAAAAAAAAATCGGGTAAAAATCCAGAATGTTGATAATGATTATCTTTGGGTGATGGAATTGAGAGACTTCTGCATTTTTCCAATTTTTCTGAAATAAATTGACATGACTGTCTTCATTAGCATGTTCTGTAATCTCTCACCCCCTCCATTTAATATTTAATCCATTTTATGCAAAGCTGAGAATTACAAGAGCGGAGGCAAGAGTGTGTGTGTATGTGTGTGTGTCTGTGTGTGTATGTATGTGTGTGTGTCTGTGTGTGTATGTGTGTCTGTATGTGTGTGTGTGTCTGTCTGTCTGTGTGTGTCTGTGTATGTGTGTGTCTGTCTGTGTGTGTGTGTGTATGTGTGTGTGTGTGTCTGTGTGTGTATGTGTCTGTGTGTGTATGTATGTGTGTGTGTCTGTGTGTGTATGTGTGTATGTATGTGTGTGTGTCTGTATGTGTGTGTGTGTCTGTATGTGTGTGTGTGTCTGTGTATGTGTGTGTCTGTCTGTGTGTGTGTGTGTGTGTGTGTGTGTGTGTGTTGCAGAACCTGGAGTGGGAAAGTGCTGGGAACAGGATCTCCCAGTGGTTCTATAATTGGGCTGCACCTTACGATCACTTGGGGGAAATCCATAAATCCCAGTGCACAGGCTCCTCCGCCTTCCCTAAACCGAGTGGATCAGAGTCTCTGGCGTGGGGCAGGCAGCAGTGCTTCTTAAAGCTCCCCGAGTGACCCACACTTGCAGCCCGTGTTGTAAACCGCAGTCGTCTCTCCCAAGCCATCCAGCCTTCTCTTGGATTGTCACCAACACTATAAACCCATGCCTTACCACCTCTCATACCTGCTTGAGAACTTCTCTTTGGACGGAGTTGAGAACCAGGGTGATAGACTGAGCTCCTTTCATTCACCCTGGAATGGCTTTGTTTTTCTTGCTGCTTATTTTAATACATCATAGAGCAGCCAGGTGAGAACAGATTGGCCTCCTAAAGTAATTTGATTGGCCCTGAAGCAAGAGTCACACGTGCCTTTTTACCCAGTGATGCAGCCCTGATCTTGTGTACCTTACTGTGCCCTTCTTTGGGGCGACCGTCTGTGTGCATCGGGCTGCAAACCCCTGGGGGTGGGCTCCCATCTGACACCTGACCCTTCCCAGGCCTTTGCATCATGCCTTGCACACAGTAGGTGCTCTATGTATGGCCTGCCGCATTTCTAGGGCCTTTCACTTCCACCAGACAGAAACACTTTAAATGTTAACATGCTTTTCCGCTGCCTCTGTATTTTGTCCACATTTCTGGAGCAATCCTGAGACAAACGTCTCCTCTGCCTCGTGCGGTTTTTACCACACTCTGCTTGACACAATGCCTCTCGAGATGCTCCCTCTGGGTTTGGTTTCCGTGGAAATCTGTCTCTGGGGGAGACAAGTGTTTTTGCCAAAGGTGAACCGTCAAGGCTCCTTGCCTCTGTGTGAAGTCACCCAAGGACACGGAGTTGGGCGGGAGTGGCCCCAGCCCCCAAGGAAGCTGACACGCTCCATGCCTGTCAACCCTGCACACTCAGCCCAGGACAGAAGCAGACTAACAGGCTCACCTCGTCACCGGGAATCGAGCCTGCAACTTTTGCCTTTGTGGGAGGGAAGATGGGAAGCGGAGGCTGGAGAAGACAGCCCTGGCCCACCCCAAGGCGAGACAGGTGGGGCTGTTGCTCAGAGCAAAGGCTGGGGTGCAGTTCTAGCCATGTCCACAAGGTGTCACAGTCATTCTATAGAACAGGGGTCCCCAACCGCTAGGATCTAATGCCTGACGATCTGAGAAGCTGGTGTAGTAATAATAATAGTAGAAATGACATGCACAGCACATGGAATCTTCTTGAACCATCTGGAAACCATCCCCTACCCTGGTCCGTGGAAAAATTGTCTTCCACGAAACCAGTCCCTGGTACCAAACATGTTGGGGACCGTTGCTGTAAAGGTTATTCCTCATCATCTTCATGAGAAAAAAACCTCACGAGTGTGCAGTCTTCCAAGATGCAAGGAGACTCAGAAAACCCAGGGGTGTTGGCATGGAGAAGGGAGCTGCAATAGCAGGGACAGAGGCCACGCAGACGGAGCCCCTAGCCCACCTAAAGCTCACCTACGGTTGGTTCAGAAAGACCCAAGTTTAAGATGCAGTGCCAAAGATGCACCTGGAATTCACTGCTAACAGGAACGGTGACTGGTAGACATATTATCACAGCTGTCTTAATGTTTAGATGCTTTCATCTGTGGTTTTTAAAATATGCATATATCCTTAAAACTAACTCCCCAACCTAATAACTAATTCCTTTTCACCCAGGCAATCAAGAACATTTGGAAAGAAACTGTCAGAGGAGGCAGGGACAAAAGCACGTGCCCAGCTGCATTTCAGGATTCTCAGAGATCATCCCAGACCGCAGCAGAAACGCCCATCTCTGAGCTCTCCTAGTTGCTTTGACCACAGCAGCAAACTTTTCGATAAATCACTCTGACTACACAGAGATATTTCCCTCTGAAACCACTTCATGAATACGTATGCGCTTCTACCTAACTTTACACGTGCCA